GAGGAGGAGGAGGAGGAGGAAGAGGAGGAGGAGGAGGAGGAGGAAGAGGAGGAGGAGGAGGAGGACCCCGGCACCCTCATAGCGAGAGCATGGAAGTGTTCATGACAGCAAACATCACCAAAATGAGCTTTCGGGTACTGACGGAGCGTGCATGTCGGATGCGTGACTCTTGAACGAGACGGGCTGTCCATCATGCAACCAGAGGTTAATTACAGATCAGGCCGTTTCACAGCACGGAAATTACTACCGCTTGTCGAGGTTGAGAGGTGGGCTGGAACCACAGGATCAGACTGAAGTTCAAGGCTGCCCCGGGGACACTTTGCTCTCAAGTCCACATCCATCCCAGTCCCTGTCTTTTAGCTCGGGCCCGTCTGTAATCCACCTCCGTGGAAAAGCCATTTTGGTACCCGACCTCCCCTCCGTGGCGGGGGATGTCTCCGGCCACCCCGGCCGGCTGAGCCACCCTGCCTGGGTCCGACGGCCCAGAATAAGCACAAGCAGGAGGATGGCACTGGGCAGGGAAGAGAGCGGCCGCTGGTGGGCAGGAGATGATGGGCAGGAGGTGATGGACATGGGGACGGTGGCGGGAGCGCGGTACGTACCAGGAAACAGCCCGATGGCGTCTGCCCTGCCCCCAGGAGTCAAACAGGCTTCGGCCAGTCAGCAGGAGATTTCAAACCATTTCTCAGACACAAAGGCCACGGGAATAAGATGCCGGTCAGAAGAAGAGGGTCTGCAGCGAGCAGAAAAAGGGGCTTGCACGTGCTGGTACATAACACACAAGGTGCAAGCCGTGGTGGCCTGCTGCAAAAATCAGCTTTTTTACAGGAAAACAACCCCAGTATCTCTAAAGTAATGCTCTGGATGGGCTTATTGGCCTTGGGAACCAGGTGGTGCAAAGCAGAGAGAGAAGAAGAAAAAAAGAGAGGGCGATACTGAACATTTTTACCGCTGCGCATGAACACCTCTTAACGCAGCCCACTGCCCTGGGGGTATCTGACCGCGCGTGGCAGCGGGGCATCTCCCGCCTGCCGCCTCCCCGGCTCTCCATCCCCCCGCCGCCCAACCGCAGCGCTGCCCGCCGCACGTCCCGCCTGGGGCTGCCGTGCCCACCGCCTGCGCCGGCTCCGCCAGGCTGACCCGGGAACACAGCGAGGCCAACGGGGTCGCAGAAAGCATCTCCCGACGGCAGAAAAACAACGAACCCCGGTTCACATCAAAATCAACGCAGGCGTACGATCACCGAAACGCTTTGAAAACCCCTGCCGCTTCTCTGCCTTCCGCCACACGAGGAAACCCTGGAGAACGTGCATGAGCAAAACCCCACGCGCACGCAGAAGGTGATGGTTAAAAAGATGACTATTAAGCTTCCAGGCTTCTGTCCGTCCTGCGGGTGGACACCAGCCGCGGGTGGCACACGCGCCACGGTCCAGCCGGGCTGCGCCGAGCGCTAGCTGCTCTTTTCCCCCCCTCAAAACTCTCCTCCCGATTTTTCCTCTGGCTTTGATGGGGGACATGCATTTACCGCGTGGCGAAGCTCTGCACCGGCGCCCAGCGAAGGGCTCCGGGAGCCACCCCGGGTGCGGGGCGGTCACTCGCCCACCCCCCCTTCCCCACGCAGGCAAGGGGCGCGCAGGGCCAGGCCTCGCATCTTTGACACCGCGCCGCCAGTGCTATTAAG